TGGATCCTCGGTCTTTTTGGAGCAGAACCTGATTCACACGGGAAGAGAGTACTGGAGCTTTACTGTCATACTGTTAATGACCCTTCATCCAGACGGCAGTTCTGTATCTGTAAGTCATAATCACAGACAATGTCCCAGTCGTGACTTCTTTAAGCTTGCTAACAAATAGGCGAGTGAGACTACAGAGGTTGTGGGGACGTTAAATCGACATCTACGCCGAACACAGAACTAATCTCCTCACCAGTCCACCTTGTACATGGCTTGTGTTTTCTTACTCGTGCTCTTATAAACTGTTACTAACTTTGTAAGAAGGAAAGACTTTTGTGGAAGAGGTAAGAGAACTGAATCTAAACTATAAGAATCATTTCAGCGTATGCAGTAAAGGTAAATGAAGTTTATGTCCTACCCAGTCTGAGTTTTCTCAGTCCTGCTGGTTTAGATGGTGGGGGTTCCTCTTTCCTTTGTTGAGCTGGCTGTGTATTTCAGCTGACTGCAGGTAGAGCGTCCGACTGGAGGAGGTCAGACCCGTAGCGGGGCCGTCCTTACTGTATCTTTAAAGAAAACAAAAACTCAACAGTTACTAGATTCTGTCTTCATTGAAAAAAGTAATCGCATAATTAAAAAAAAGAACCTTCCACATTCTCCCGGTCCCTGCGTCAGTCACAGATGTCCAATAATCTAGACGAGAAGAGTGCAAGTGTTGGTTAGGATGAGTGTGTCATACCAGTCCTGCAGCCTCACGTTTTCTTCTCGTCTTTGACAAGAGAGTGATCAGGTTTGTATCCACAGCCCTGCCCGGTCAGCTCCTGGCATCTCTTCGTCAAACCTCTTCTTGTGATGTGGACGAACAAAACTGGTAGAAGCCTTCAACACACGCGACAAACTCAACATGAAAAAACAAAACACGCACACTGTGTCTGTCTGCAGGCAAAACAAGAATACTTTATCATATCACTTATTTGGCTCAATTTTATATCTTCATTATTTGGTGAGAAAACAAAATGTTTTCGAGATTGAATTCACTTCACACTGACAGTGTTTGTGGTTGTGCCTGACTGAGCCGACAGAAACAGTGTTTTTAAAATCACAGAGTAAAGTTGTGTGGGTTTCTTTAGAGCGGAGGCATCACCGCGGAGCAGACTGTGATTGGTTAGTGTCCTCAACTAAGACAGCTGTCCTCAAGTCCAGCAGGAGGTCCAGGTCATCAGTCCTCTTGTAGGTCTGCAGAGCCTGGATGATGCTCTGAAAGTTGAACCTGGCTCAGTGACTTTTCATCTCTGCCAGGAACGTCTTCGCCCTGCTGGCTTTACCCTCCTCAGACACATCGTCCGCGCTGGTTTTTTTCAGCCACGAGGGAGAAAAATACGCAGATACAGAAATCAATCAAAACATATATCAGCAGCCATGAATATGAATTAACCACAGAATATTTGGTGAAAGTGACTTGATCAGCACCATCATGATTTCAACAGCTAACATGCATCTGAACGGTAAACAGTAGTTATAGTCTCGTCTTTTAAACTAACAGCCACTGAAAACATCCTGAATACAATCATCTGTAAAACTAAATACACTGAAACCAACTTACAATTTATGATGTCAAATTATTATATTTACAAATCAACTCAACATCTGTCACGTCAAATTAACATATGGCTGTGTGTTGGACTTGGGGCTCACAGTGACTGCAGCAGCTGCAGCTTCTGGTGATGTAACAGCATCTAAAATAAAGAGAATCTAAACCAAACAAACCTGGTGTTGTTCAGAGTGACACGTACCTGCTCTTGGACCACTTGATTTTACGCTTTCCTCCTCGCAGTTCATTATCCATCCTCTTGTCATACTGAAGAGTCAGCGTGGACAAACGTTTGCCTTCAAAGAAAATAGACCAATTGAACAAATAAAAATTAAGTCCTCTTGGAATAAATCACTAATAATTTGACTTTACCAGTGTTGTTTCACGATGTGACATACATCAGATGTACTGACCAAACTACCACAGCACATGTGACAGTAAATGTCTTGTCAAACAGAGACCTGCTCTGGACTTGTAGGACACACCAGGCGTCTCACAGAAAACACACTACCTTCTCCTCTCCACACACAGCATTCACCGTCCTCTCCTCCGTGATGGTCGTCTCGTTTCCAGAGCATCCAACAGGTTGGCCGGCCTCCTCTGACTCTCCTGCACCTCCACTCATACTCGATACAGATCCTGGCCATCCCTGCCGGCTTCCAGTGTGCTCATCTGACAACACAGACCAGACAACAGGTAAAAAAAAAAAAAACATCAGGATTTTAAAGGAGTCGTGGAAAACCCTCCCTTTGTATTCATACTCACTGAGCCTCCTCCTCTTCAAGGCTGGGAAGGTGGGCGTCCAACCCTTGGCCTTCTGGGTGGAGATCTTTGGGAGGTTTGAGCAGGAAGTGAAGCTTTGAGGACTGAGAGTCTGGTAAAGATCGTCGCCCCACTGCTCTCTGCAGCAGTCTTCTTCTCTACCACAAGGCCTCTGGTTCAGTCAAAACAACCACAAAACAGTCAGTATAGCCGACAAATTAACCAGCGCCAACACGCCATCAGCTCAGATGTACTGAGGCTTTGTGCTCACGTTTATTATAACAATAGATCAATATGTACAAACCATGGACGCTTCTTGCACAAACCGTTTATATTTACATTAACACCTGCAACAGAAAATAAATGCAGTAAACATCATGCAGTTCAGGTGGGAACTGTCAAAGTTATGTAGTTAATTCAGTAAATACTTCCCAGGTTGTGATATATATATATATCTTTATGAAAGTGTGTGTGAAGGACCCACCATCTTCTGTGCCACCCTGAAGAACTGAGAGACGTCACGACACGTTCCGAAGCCATCATACCGCCGAACATACGGCCTGACCCACGATGGAAGCTGAGCCTGGCATTAGCGTTCTTAACCTGCCGGGAAACACGTCATTTTTATTTCAGTCGCCTTCGTCATTGTTAAACAGATCCATTCTTTCTGAATGATGTTAGGGAGGCTAAGAGTTTAATTATTAACGGGCACTTAACAAATTTTACACACATGCTCACATAAACAGTATCTGAATACAGCTGAATTCCCAATAAAGCTGTTTATTTAGCTGGTTTCTGTAACACAAGCTATTTAAACCATTCAGATTAAGTTATTAAATTAAATATTAATGTTTTTTATTCTATTCTGAGAAGACAAACCATCTGTACAGGATTTGTAACAAAAGCTCTAACTCTATTCTAAATTAGATTAGATAATGTAAGGAACAGAACTGTCTGACCAACAGTCCAAAAAGACTGTTCAGCTTCTACTTCTCTTAAAATCACCTGTATGTTCTACTTAAGGACAAATATATTTCTAAAGCGGCTCAGAATCAGTAACAGCTTTCCATGTCTGACCTTTGATCACACAGGAAGATGGCTCCGTAGTCCTCCTTATGGCGAAATGACTCTACTCGAGGCCTGGTTCACGCTCTGGAACGCCTTGCTGTCTGTACCACTCCTGCCCAGACAGGTACTGTCCACACACACACACATCACACACACACACACACACACAACCACCAACAACACACACCACCACACACACACACACACACACAACACAACACACACAGCATGAAAAGACTGAACCACTAAAACATCATCATGCCTTTTCAGTAAAACTCAGTGAGCAGGTCTCCTCACGCTTCACCCTGGAGCTTTCCTCCGGCTCATCTCATCCAAGAACTCATCCTTCAGGATGACTCGAGGGTCTCATCCTTGGAGGGAAGGGAAGGCCGGTGATGATGACACCCCGACCAAACGTGTCTGCAAAATCCAGACCCTCGCTGGCCTGACACAGAAACACATTTATAGAAAAGCTGCGAGACGGACGAGTTTGTGTAAACGTTCAACATTTTCTTACGGTAACATTTGAGACATCTGGCAGTGGAAAAAATTAGATAAGACAGTGACCTAATTTACCATTTATTTGATGATATTGAATTCTGACTAAAGGGTTAAATTTACACATTTTTTGTTTTAACTCAGAGACTAGCTAACAGATTACTGTTTGCGGCTGCAGCTGTGTTTCTTTTAATACTTTTTGAATGAAACCAAAAACAGTTTTAACGCATTAGCATTCCTCATACATGAACATGATCATGACACCCAATAATGGGAAACTGATGAAAAATAACACTGTGAAATTTCGGCTGTTCCAAGACTTTCCAGTGATGACGCCAAAAATAAATGTTCAGGCCTGATGGTGACACTGGACCTATTTATCCACAACGCATGTCACAGCGATATCTCCATTCCTCTGTTTCATCAGACTGAGCTGTCAACGTAAAACAAAGCACAAACAGTTTCTCTAGACTACATGGACACACGGTCACCTCACCTTCCCTCGACACACTGCAAAGAAGGTTCCCCCTTTAGATGCTGGATCATTGACTTTGTTTGTAATATCCGTCAATAACCTAAAACAAGGAGAAAAGATCAGTTGTTGCTTTCACACTGACAAGTCTTTAGAGAAAATGTCACCAACTCACACCATGTGCAGCTCATGAAATACCACGAGACTTTTAACGGCTCTGTGAAGAGATTTTAAAACAACAGCAGCAAACAATATATAGTGGGGTAATGGCGTCTGAGCGAAGGTACATCCCACCAGTGTGTGTTGTTTATGAGTTCTTGTTTCTTTGTTTTTGGTGCAGATCCACATTTTATTCGTTGTGCATGGCAGTCCTCCTGCTAAACCACTGGTCCTCCCCACGTTAATAAACACACATGGAAACTACCGGCTCAAATTGTGGCTGAAGCATAATGACTTCTGGTCTGAGTGTACATGACATCTAGTGCAAGACTATCGCTTACAGAACCTTTAAAGAAACCTGTAAACTGTCAGAGGAGGTTTTACAAGCCGTGCATACAGATGTTAATAAAACCACACTCACCTCAGTGAAGGTTCCCTTTCCTTTAGGTTCAACAAACATGGGCTTTATGTTGTCAATACGATCTGCATGTCCATTAGCCTGATGAGAGAGACATACACAGACAACAGTGATTCAGAAATCAGTTGGAGCATCCAAAATAAATACATCTACAAAATTACAATATAATACAGCGATATGTTTCTTACTCTCACGAGTCAATGGTTTTTCCATTAAAGGGAAAGAGGGAAAAAACACCAAGAGACCATGAGGAACCACACGGCTCAGGTTGGCTGAGGAGAGAACACAACAAGAGACACATTCGTGAGATGATCACAGCAGAAATGATGAAATGAGTAATGTTCACTTATTTACA